GATTAAATCTTCCTGGATGTGTCACAGGCTTTATGAGCTGGGCTTTGTAGAATACCACCTGGTGGAAATGGGGAAAAGCCTTCTAGGCAGAGGGAAATAATGTGAACAAAGACTTGTGAGCATCTGTTTGGGAAGGTGTGTAATTTGGGGGAGCTGGAGCATAAAATTCTCCATGTGAATTGGAGAAGGAGGGTAAGGGTGGAAATGGAGATGAAGCTAGAAAGACAGTCTTTGATCAAGGGTGAAGTGCATTGAATGCTTTCCCAATGACAGACTAGGCAGAGGTGAGCATCAAAGGGTCAAGTTTATCATTTTTTTAATCCTTTTTTTAAAAAAACGATTTATTTTATTTATGCGTACAAGAACTGGGGTACAGGCCAGAGAGGCGGGAGATGAGAGGATTCACCAGAGACAAGAGTGGGGAACAGAACAGGCAGACTGGCTGAAATGCACTGCTGAGGGGAGCAGCGGGCGAGACAGGAGAGGTCTGCTGCGCCATGTACGTTTCTCCCTGGCCGGCCAAGGATAGAACTCATGATGCAGAGGCTGCGGATTGCTTCCCAGTGTGGTGCTTAATCCCTTGCGCCACCAGGGAGGCCCCCAAATCTATCTTCTAAACATTTGTGTGTCTGGTCTGCAGAAACCAGACCAAAGGTGAAAAGACCTTGAGAAGTTCCTGTTTCTCTGGTTTTGCCAAATAATACAAGACGATTCCATTTGGAGGGTTACAGCATCTCATTTAACTTTTAAGACCTGTTTCATTTTGTGAGAGCTTGGGAATATTTGGGGGGAGGGGTAGCTGATCATTTGAGAAACAAGTGGATAAGTATTTGGATGTATTTTCATTGAACTCACAGAAATTTTGCACATATGAACAAAAGTTTCCACTGCTTAAGACAGCTCACTTTTTTTTTTTCTTTTTGTTATTGTATTTTAATTTGGGGCAGTTCTTAATTTCAGGTCACATAATATCTCAGTCAGATTTGCCTTGAAGCATCGTTGCAGCTATAGTCCTTGCTAGTGAGGGTGTGACTGTCTCTGTATACTTCCACTTTAGAGGCATTTTTTTTTTTTAATTTATTTTAGAGGCATGTTATTTATTTATTTGTTTGTTTGTTTGTTTTGTTTATACAAGCACTGGGTACAGTCAGAAGTGCGGGAGGGTGAGAGAATTCACCAGAGCCAGAGCGGGGAGCAGAGCAGGCAGAAGGACCGAAGTACACTGCTGAGGGGAGCAGCGGGCAGCAGGCCTCGCGCCATGCGGGACCCTCCTCCGGTGGCCGGGGAGCAGCCGGGGATTGAACCAGCGCCGCAGTGGCCGCGGGCAGCTTCGCAACCCAGCGCTCAACCGCTGCGCCACCGGGGAGGCCCCCACTTTAAAATCTTGGGTGAGAGAATTAAGCTCAGAGCCAGGCCGCAGGTCCATTAAATCAGGGCCGTAGTCTCCCGGCCTCCTCCTCTAACCAAGTGTGGGATTTCTGCTTCACCATCTATTACCTTTGTTTCCATGGGCAAAACTTAAGAATCTCTTAAGTTTTTGTTTCTCTTGTGGAACATGGGGTTTAATAATAGCACCCTTTGGGCCTCCCTGGTGGCGAGGCGGGTTGAGCGCAGTGCTGTGAAGCTGTCCTCGGCCCCTGCAGCACAGGTTCAATTCCTGGCTGGCCAGGGAGCTACCCACATGGCATGGCAGACCTCTCCTGTCTCGCCTGCTGCTCCCCTCAGCAGTGTATTTCGGTCGTCTGCCTGTTCTGCTACCTGCTCTGTCTCTGGTGAATCTTCTCACCCTCCCACGCCTCTGGCCTGTAGCCCAGCTCTTGTATATAAAAATAAATAAAATTTTAAAAAATCTTAAAAAAAATAATAGCACTGCTTTCAGAGGGTTAGTTTTGAGGATACAATCAGATCACACATGTAAGACTCTTAGTGCAGTTGTAGACACACAGTGTGCTGAGAATAGATGGAAATTATCATCATCTGGATTATTAAAGGAAAGATGCTGTAGGACATGCTAGAGATGTAGAGATAAAAGCCATAGTTCTCCAGCATGGGGTACACAGGTAAGTTATCCTTGATCCTCAAGGTGAGTGCCTTGAGGGCTGGGAGGAGGAAAAATATTGCCCTCCTTGTGGAGATTATACAGATGTATGAGTTTATTTCATTTGAGCACTCTGCTGTATTTATCCTTCCGTCAGGTCAGAATTCAAATATGAGATTGTTGACTCAAGTCTGCATGCTTATTTTCGTTGAAAAGTATTTTCGACTTATTTGTCATAGGGGACCCTGATTCCATTTCTTACAACAGGTTTGTGAGTAATGTCATCTTATCTCAGTTATTTTGTTATAACATTGGCTAGGGGAGGGTGTTGCAGGGGGAAATGGACTCCAGCAGGGGCCCTGTTTCTGTGACGTTCACACCTTCTTTCCATGTGTGCTGGGCTGTCTCAGAACTCTGGTTTTCTCTAACCCAAACTGGGCACGGTAGGGTCCTTGCTGTGTCTCAATTGTTTTAGTCTGAGCGAGTAGCCTGGTGTACGCGTGCGCCCTGTGAGGGAAGGCATCCTGTCCAGTCCTGGTTCCTGCCTGTGCCCTCAGCTGCCAGAACAGGCACCCATGACTATACTGAACAGGTATAAGTAGGTTGGAAAATGAATGAATGGCTAAAAAAACTTGTTTGATTTTACAAGTGTTTTGGGCCTTTAGAAGTTTGATGATGGATTTTTTGTGACCAGAAATATTCTGTAAGAACTTAACTCTTGATTATGTCAATTAGTGTACAGTAAAATTAGTTTTATTATATGTAGTTTTGCATAAGGTTACAATTTCCAAGAATCTATGATGTGAATTGAGGTTTTACTGTAGCGGGATGATAGGAAACATTTCTTTGGGCCGGGGGAGAGAGCATTTTTTCTTCTCCCCTAAATATTTATTTATTTTATACAAGAACTGGGGTACAGACCAGATGTGCGAGATGGTGAGAGGATTCACCAGAGACAGAGTGGGGAACAGAACAGGCAGACTGACGAAATACACTGCTGAGGGGAGCAGCGGGTGAGACAGGAGAGGTCTGCTGCGCCATGTGGGACCCTCGCTGGCCAGCCGGGATGGAACCCGTGCAGCAGAGGCTGCGGACAGCTTTACAGCGTGGTGCTCAACCGCCTGGGCCACCAAGGGAGGCCCGAGAGAACATTTTTTTTAATCTTAATTTTATTTTGTTAATTAAATTTTTTTTCTGGGGCTCCCTGGTGGCACAAGACGCAACCAGTGAAGCTGTCCGCAGCCTCTGCAGCAGAGCGCCATGCCTGGCCAGGGAGCTACCCACATGGCATGGCAGACCTCTCTTGACTCACCCGCTGCTCCCCTCAGCAGTGTATTTCAGTCAGTCTGCCTGTTCTGTTCCCCACTCTGTCTCTGGTGAATCCTCTCACCCCCACACCTCTGGCCTGTTCCCCAGTTCTTGTATGCATAAATAAATAAATAAATCTTTAAAAAACAATTTTTTCCTTACATCATTGTAGTCACGTAGTTCTCCACCATATCATCTGTGAACTACCACCATATTCCCTTGTGTTCATGAGGGAGGTGGAGGACATTTCTTAATCCAACCTAGCTGCAATTTCCTCATCCGTAAGGAAATAAAGATAATGGTCGTAGTTAACTCAGAGTTATGCTATGAATGCCCCCAGGATATTGTGTTCGATAAATTTTAGCTACTGTCATTTAAGAACAGCATCTGTAATTTTTGGTTGTAATGGCTTGCTAGGAACAGAGGATAGATCATCGCAAGTTATCATAGTTGTTATGACGGTTGACGAAGTGAGGGGGTGGAAATTCTGGAGTGACCTCGTCTTGCCAATCACCTCTGCTCCCTCTTATAGTGCTGTTGGTAATAAAGCCCTTCCTCACCTCCCCCCACTTCCCTTAAGGAGCCCCCCTCAGTCTCTGCCCCACTGCCCTTGCGTTGTCCCTCATTGTTCTGAGCCCCGGCTGCAGTCTGTTGTGACAGGCGACCTCTAGCCCCCTTTGCTTCCCTTCTGGGGCAAAATGGTGTTTCGACTTTTCGGAACTCCCAGATCCAAGCCTGGACTGAATCCCACGATTTCACCATTTCACCTCTCGGATGGGGAGCACTTAATTAAGTATGTGGGGCGAGATCAGATCCTAGAACCTCAGAAAGTCCTGATGAGAAAGTCCTTCGAACCGAGCCCCAGCCCCTCACTTTACAGGACCGTAAACTGAGACTCGGAAGGGAAGTAACTTGTGTAAACGGGGGGAGACGAAGACTCAGATCCGGCTCTCCGGGCTCCCGGTTCTAGCGACGTCCACGACACCCCCAGACAGCCCCTCGGGGCGCCGCTCCCTGAGAAGGACCCCAAAGCAAGGGCGACAACGGCCAGGCAGGTCCCCTTGGCTCTGGGTACTCCGGGCTGTGCCGTTCGCGCCGCGTTTGGAAGCTGTTTGGCTCTCCGGGGTGGGGGCGGGGGGCAGCGTAACACCCCCAGAACTAGGAAGAGCCCCGACGCGGAGTCCATGGCGGGGGCGGGGGCGAGAGGGACTCTGGGCTTCCGGGGAGCTGGGAAGAGAGGGGGGTCGGGGGTCGGGGCTGCCGGGCCCAGGAGCTCAGCTGCTGGAAACCCCTATCCGGCGCCTCGCGGCGGAGAGCAGCGGCCTCCCGAGCGGCGAGTCCCGCCCCGCCCCCGGCCCCGGCCCCGGCCCCGGCCCCGGCCCCGGCCCCGGCCCCGGCCCCGGCCCCGGCCCGGCCCCGCCCCGGCCCCGCCCCCGGCCCCGCCCCCGGCCCCGCCCCCGGCCCCGCCCCCGGCCCCGCCCCCGGCCCCGCGGAGCGCAGTCGACCCCGCGCCCCCGCAGCCCGTTGCCCCGGCAGCCGGCGCCGCGCGCAGAAAGCCGATCCTCCTGCGGGTGCGCGGCGCCTCCGAGCGTCCGGGCGGCGCGGCCGCGGCGCTGGGCGATGCGGTAGGCGGCGCGCCCGGGCCCGCAGCAGCATGGCCCGGCCGGTGCAGCTGGCGCCTGGCTCGCTGGCGCTGGTGCTGTGCAGGCTGGAGGCGCAGGAGGCGGCGGGGGGCGCGGAGGAGCCCGGGGGGCGCGCGGTGTTCCGCGCCTTCCGCCGCGCCAATGCGCGCTGCTTCTGGAACTCGCGGCTGGCGCGCGCCGCCTCGCGGCTGGCCTTCCAGGGCTGGCTCGGGCGCGGGGTGCTGCTGGTGCACGCGCCCCCGGCGTGTCTGCAGGTGCTGCGCGAAGCCTGGTGCCGCCGGGCGCTGCGCCCCCCGCGCGGCTTCCGCATCAGCGCGGTGGGTGAGTGCGGGGCCCCAAGCGGAGGGGAGCCCGGTGCGCCCCTGGATCCCCCCGCCAGGCCCAACTCTGGGGGAGCGGGAGTTCGGGGGAGAGGGATGAAGGGGATGGGAGACCAGCTCCAGTGATCGGAAGAGATCGGGGTTCTCGAGACACTCCCGCCCGCTAGGGCACTGAAGCTCTCTCGGCCCCCAAGATCTGCCCGTCCGCTTCCTCTGGCCAACTTCAGGGCGCCTCTGTTCACAGTCTTTCAGCCAAGGAGCGCACAGGTTCTTGCCTGAAGTAACTTTCTACTTAGAAAAGGGATGCGCTGGGAAAAGAAACTTTGGACCCGGGGAGCCGGAGCTGCGGACAGGCGGTCCTCTGTCTCAACTCCCAGGGGCGGGTGCGCTTAAGAAGGGGACACCGAGAAGTGGCTAGAATCTGTTCAGAATCAATTTTGAACTGGCTGCTGATTTTTTTTTTCTTTTTAAATTGCGGACTTAGAGTGGACAAGAGTCTGTGGTCTTCCAGTCCTGTGGTGCTGGATAGTACAGTGGTCTTAGATCAGGTTCCAGCTGAAAGTCCTTAACTGTTTGGGAAAAAGAAATGACAAATGGCGCTCTGGACTCATCCCATGCCGTTCCTAGACAGAGAGAATTCCATCTTTCCAGTCTTTTCGGAGAATCCGTTGGTTAGAAGACAAGAAGTAGCTGTTTTTGCCCATGTAAAATAGCTTCTCCTTTGAGCAACAGAACCACGGCACCACTGAGTGGTCTCTGAGCCCCACCGCTACAGCAGCTCCCTGCAACAGCTTAGTTTTGTGTCTGCATTTATATGAGGTCGTGTGGACCATCTGATGGTGCTGTTGACAAGTCACCACTTGTTCCAGCCCTGAATTTTGACTCCTACCAGGGAACCCCTTTTTGTGTTAGCCCATAAATCCTCCTCCTCTTCCATTTGAGGAGGAGGAGCAGCAAATTAAAAACAAAAAACGTTTGTCTTAGTTGCCAGGGTGAAGGAACAGGGCAGCAAGAGGCACTTGATGTGTATCACTTGCTTAGGATGTCTCCATAGCCTGGCAGCCCTGGTGAGTGCGGTTACTCCTGGACTTCTCACCTCCAAGCATTCCCATTCTGTCTGGTGTGTTGGGGCCCCTACCCACTTCCTTCCCTTAAGAGCAAAACCAACTCACTGCAAAGCCACGTCCATATATTTCATCTCCTTTTACTCACAGGAGTGAAGAAAATAGATTTCTGGCTCTGAAAGCAGTGAGCCAAGTAGCCAAGCCAAAATTCTCACAGGGGAAGGGGTCTTTCAGACAGGCTGGATGAAAAACCCTTTTCATTTCTGTGTCCTCGGTTTTTCTGGTTTGAATTAGCAGTTGCATTCTCTGATTCCCCCTGCCCCCTTTCAAAGTTTGAGTATAGAGTGTATTGCAGAGAGGGAGTGGATGGAGTGTGGGGGTCTAAACCTGAGGCTGAAATAAGAGAGGGCTTGTGCTAAGCCTGAGGCGGCCATGATGCCACTACCTGGGATTCAGTGAGCTGTGGTGAGGGCTGCTTCCTGGGCTGGCCCTGTTTTCTGCCATCTGAAAGGTGCAATAGGCAAAATGAATGTGTCACCAGCTGGCACAAGTCTTCGCCCACTAGATCATGATGTCATACAAGTCAGGATGCAGTGGACCCTACCTGTGTGTGACACTGTGCTCTTGACCCTGGATCATCATCCCTGACTCCCCTGCCTGCTTCTCTTGGCAGGAGTGGTTTTGAGGTTTTAAACAAAGCCCTGATTAGAATTTGGACAGTTGGCTGGACTTTTCGAGAAGCAAGCTGGAGAAACATCTTATTTGACACTGGTCAATGGATGCAACTGAGGAGGCACAGTTCGTTTTGAATAGGGCTGCTAATTACCGGTTTTGCAATCCTTGGGTCAGATTAAAGGAGAGAAGACATCAAGGCAGCTCTTGTGCCATCTTAGGGAACCAGAGATGGGGAAGGCATGAAGAATTGCCTTCCCCCAAAAGAATCGGAAATTGTGGTCAGCTTACTTTCCTGAATTGGGCAGCACTGGCTTTCAGATGCTAAAATGGGCCTCCAGGAAGGCAAGGGAAGAGAGCTGTGCACTTGTTCCATTCTTGCTACTTTGCAGGAAAGAGCAGACAGTGCTAGAAAAAAAACACAAAATGTCCATTTGATCAGATCATTTTGATTTCTTTGTTAAAGATTAAAAAAAAAAAAGGTTCATTTAATCCACATGAAACCATTGGAGCTTAGAGGTTGTCGCTGGCCATCTCAGACAAAATGCAGAGAAGAGGAGGCAATGCCATCAGTTTTATGAGCTCAAATGTGCTTCTGTGGGTCCTTTCCTGGGCTCCTGGACCCCAGGCTCTCAGGACTTTGTAAAATAACAAGAGGGAGCTCCTTGGCCAAACCGATAAGAATGACCTTGAGACACAGGTACAGATCTGAATTTAAGGCCTGTAGGGTTTATGTTTTCTCCAAGTTTTTTGTCTTTTCTTTCCCTCTTCTCTTTTTCTACTTCATCTTCCTGCTGGTGAGAAAAATAGTTTCAGGCTGAAAATATTTAGCATAATAACCAGAACTCTTGTGCTCTAACCCTAAGTGTTTTTCTCGTCTTTTAAAATTAGCAAATGACATTAACAATTCAAAGCGTGTGGGGCCTCCCCGATGGCGCAGTGGTTGAGTACTGGGTTGCGAAGCTGCCCGCAGCCTCTGCAGAGCCAGTTCGATCCCCAGCTGCTCCCGGCCACTGGAGGAGGGTCCCACCTGGCGCTCAGACCTCTCCTGCCGCCCGCTGCTCCCCTCAGCAGTGTGTTTTGGTCCCTCTGCCTGCTCTGCTCCCTGCTCTGGCTCTGGTGAATTCTCTCACCCTCCCGCGCTTCTGACTGTACCCAGTGCTTGTATAAATAATTAAATAAATAAATCTTTAAAAAAAAAAAAAAAAAAACAACAAAGCGTGTGAGCTCTGGAAGCTGGAGGGAGACATCTGCTTACCAAGCTGAGCCTCTGCAGATGGCAGGGCTGGGGACACCTGTATTTGTTTGGGCGAATCAGTTGTTACTCTGGAACCACACCTCTGCAGAGGTGAAAGGTTAATGATGGCTTCCTGGGGTGATGGAGGGAAGGCCTCTGGACTAAACAAGTTTGCTCCCTTCTTCTGAAGTTTATAGCTGAGCTGTCCTTGCTCTTCCAGCCTCCCCGCCCCCACCTTCATCCTCTCTCATTGAATCACAATGCCTGTGGCTTTTTTCTTCTTCATGAATTCATTTATGTGTCAAGTACTATTCTCAGTGTTTTTGTGATTTAGTGCATCTTTTATTCAGAGTTGCATGTCCTGAAGTGGAAAATGGAGTTAGAATCTGTTTCCCCCAGTTCAAACAGGGATAGCATAGCAGGAAGCTGTGTTCTGGAAGTTGACTGGTTCAGTCTTTTTTATCTCAAGGTGTGTGTGTACATTATGCTTTGATTTAGTTGGGCAGACGTTACCTGGTGTGTGCTTCCTGGTGTGTGCTTCGGGAGGTTTTACTGAAAACCTGACATATCAGGCTGGCGATGGGAGGCTCTTCCCTCTGCTCCTCATTCCCCTCCTGCCTGTGGCCTGGGCATCGGGGAGCACAGAGATAGCAAGTGTCCTGGAATAGAGGTGAGTTACTAACTTATGCTAGTTGTAAATGACTGATTTTGTTATAGGACAGGAAGAGGGGTAGCCCAAGCCCCGCAAACCTGCCTATTCTAAATGGGTTCTGCCATCCGCCGTATCAACACAAAACATATGAGACTTTAATGGGAAGGAACTTTAATAAAACTAGGAAACAATACAGGTAAGGCAAAGAGTCTAGTTTCTAAATGAAGCACCCAAAGTTACCCGTCCCCTCGTGGGTAAAAGTCCATCCAAATGGGATTGGCCCAGAGCAAGGCCCCAAAGCCTGCCACAAGTCTAAAGCATCTTCCAGTGGGGACCCACAGAAAAGGGTCAGAAACTACCAGACAAGGCCGGAAGGAAAAGAGCAAAATCAACATCAAGATAAAAGCTGCCATGGTCACCTCCCCACGGGTCTCACCCACATCTGTGTCACCCAGTCCACGACCAAAAGACAAGCGCAGTTTCTTCACGTGTCTCTAGGCTCCATGCGCCTCCTCCAGGTCTCCTGGCTCCATCCTGCTTCCTTCCTCAGTCTCTTCTGCAGCTTCTACTCTCCCTGCTCAGCTCCACCCTCCCTTGGGTGGGGCAGGGAACCTGGAACCTCCCCCTTTCCTGGGCACCACCCTGTTGCAATTTCAGAATTTATACTGAGATCTGATTTGGGTGAGTAGGAATGGCTCAAGTACACCGGGTAGCTGACGTTATAAGATTTGGGTAGATAACTGAAATGCCTGATTTATCCTGTGGCTTAGGGAGTGGCTTAGGGGAAGGTGTAGAGCTGATGAGGAGATGGAGTGGGGCAGTAGGGCATCTTATATAGTTTAGTAGCTGATGGAAATTTCAAGATGAAACTTACATTTAGTGAAATACACAGCCCGAAGTGTACCATCTATGATTTTTAAAAATACGTGAGCGTAACTCAAATTCCTTAGAGGATTTAGAATATTACCATTACTCCAGAAAGTTCCCTTTTGCCCCTTCCTAGAGGTGCAAGGGGGTTGGAGGGTGAGAAGATTCACCAGAGACAGAGTGGGGAACAGAACAGGCAGATTGACTGAAGTACACTGCTGAGGGAGCAGCAGGCAAGTCAGGAGAGGTCTGCAGTCGGGAGAGGTCTGCTGCACCATATGGATAGCTCCCTGGCCAGGGATGGAACTTATGCGAAGTGGCTGCTCAGAGTTTCATAGTACTGAGACTTAACCCTTTACGCCACCAGGGAAACCCTATATCTTCAAGTTTTAAGTTTTTATTCTGATTTATCTATTTTTCTCTTTTATGAATTATATTTTTTTGTATCCTAGGTAAAGAAATTTTGCCCCGCTCAAAGACTTGTTTTCTAGATTGAAGTTTTATGACTT